TGTTGATATGACAGGACCATGACAGGTCCTGCGAGATGTGTACGCCGAGGTATCTGAAGCTATCCACTCTCTCCACTGGGCTCTCGTTGATCATGGGGGTCTGGTAGTTCCTCTCCTGCTTTTTACTAAAGTCCACTATCAACTCCTTTGTCTTGCTGACATTGAGGAGGAGGTTGTTCCTCTGGCACCAGTTCTCCAGATTCCTAATCTCCTCCAGGTAGGCCATCTCATTGTTGCCGGTAATCAGTCCAACCACAACGGTATCATCAGCAAACTTGATGATGGTAGTGGAGTTGGTAGAGGCCGTGCAGTCATAAGTGTACAATGAGTACAGCAGGGGGCTCAAAACACAACCCTGAGGGGCTCCAGTGCTGAGGGTGAGGGAGGCTGATACATGTCTGCCCATTCTTACTGCTTGTGGTCTGCCAGTAAGAAAGTTGGAGATCCACTGACACATAGATGGGCTAAGTCCCAGGTGTTTCAGCTTGGTGGTGAGTATGGAGGGAATTATAGTGTTGAACGCTGAACTGTAGTCAACAAACAACATCCTGACATAGTTGCCCTTTCTAGTGTCTAAGTGAGTGAGTGATGTGTGAAGGAGATGGGTAATGGCATCATCTGTTGAACGGTTTGGCCGGTAAGCGAACTGTAGTGGATCTAGTGTGTCTGGTAGTGAAGAGATGATGAAGTCTCTGACCAGTCTCTCAAAGCACTTCATCACTATTGAGGTCAGAGCCACAGGGCGGTAATCATTGAGGGAAGCAGGATGGTTTTTCTTCGGGACTGGCAACAATGATGGACTTTTTAAAGCACGTGGGGATTACCGACTGGTTTAACGAGAGATTGAATATTACTGTGAACACAGGTGCTAGCTGGTCAGCGCAGGCTCTGAGGACACGACCTGAGATTCCGTCCGGTCTTGCTGCTTTCCTGGTGTTCACTCTCCTGAAGGCTCTCCTCACGTCATGCTCGGAAATGACGAACGCGTTCCCAGAATTGGCATTTTCTTCCTGTCTGCAGCTGTTACCGTTAGCTGCAGCCGCGAAACGAGCGAAGAAGGTGTTCAGCTCGTCTGCCAAGGACGCGTCCGCATTCATCATGCCGGATGTTGGTGCTTTATAGTCCGTCATTGTCCTTAGTCCCTGCCACAGGCTTCTAGAGTCACTCTGTTGGAACTGTGCCTCCAGTTTCCTCTCTGTAGCGCTGCTTCGCTTCTTTTACCGCTTTTCGGACCCTGTACGACGCAGCCTTAAACGAGCCCATATCCCCCGACTCAAGTCTGTTCCTAATCCCGGCTCGTTTTCCCCGGGGCCGCCGCTTCGGTTTGCGTCCTTTGTTCTCCCACAGGATCTCACTCGGCCAGCTTGGATCCGGGGTTAAAACCGTCAAGTTGTGAGTACAGATAGAAATAAGAACATCTCTATCGTACTTGATACACTCCATTGTAAGGAATTGACCAGTTTTAAATGTCCTTGAAGTCAATTTAAAACCGAAAATAGGAACAGTGGATCAGAGCAGTCGTGACGGTAGCCGACTACACCGGCGCCATCTTGACATAGACATAGATGCACTGATACTGGTATTTCGGTATCAAGTACGAGTGCCGATTTTATTTTTGGTACTCGCTGCTGCCAAATACCAACACCAGAAGTCCCATTAAGGAAGCCAGGCGGCGTGTAATGACTAGCCGCCTGAATTCCTGAATAGCTGTGAAGCGGGGCGGCGTGTAAAGACTCGCCACCAGGCTTCCCGATTACCAGGGAAGCCGTCCCCATGCTTCTCGTCACTAGATGATGAGAAAGCATGAATCCGGCTTCCAGGCCAATCAGAGAGCCAGGCTCCGCGTCATTACACGGCACCCTGCTTCCTGATTGGCCGGGAAGCCGGTTCCATGCTCCCTCGTCACAAGTGGGATTGGAGCATTTGGGCGAGTACGTGTACTCGCCCAAATACTCGGCAGCAGCTCCGATACTAGTATCGGTATCGGTGCATCCCTACTTTTCAGTATTCAACCCTTTCAGAATTGCCAGATGCCTGTGTCCCCTGATATGTGCTGTGGTTCCATCCTCCAACACCAGTATCACTGCTGTCTCCTATTGTGACGTAGAGGTCAGAGGAAGGACCACAGCACATGATTGGGTACATAGGCCTCCGACACTCCTGGAAGTGCTTAAAAGACTGACAGAGGATCTAGCACTGGGATGGAGGAGAGGTAGAAGATAGGGGCTGCCAGAGAGGTGAGCATAAGAGCTTGTCCTTGCGATACAATTAATTTTTTTCAAATGACTGGGTTGCTTTAAACAGGAAAGTGCATTTCGATTCAATTAACAAACATTGTGCAGACAAAAGACAGGAAGCTTGGGAAAATGCTGCAATCAACACTGGAATGTATGGAAATTACTGAGCAATCATTGAACAATATTACATGGTGAAAATGTAACTTGAAGAGGAAGTCTGATAATATATAGCTCTCATTATATGTACATTTTTAGATATGTGTATTATGGAGCCAATGCAGACTATAAAATAACTGCTGGCTTACATTTTCAGATGTATATACAAGTGTGCATGCAGTTGTTCTGTTATTAAGTCATGTAATAAGAATAATGGCAGGAAGTCTGCTATATGTAGACAAATTGCCATCCACGTGGCCACAATTGTATCTATAGTTCTGGAATTTTCTTGAAACCTCAATGTATTAGTTGAAACGTGTGTGTAAATGTTCAAAATTCAGTGCACCCATCGCACTCCTGACCGAATAATTAAGAGTCGACCGAGAATTAGAGTCAGGTGGGTGCCAAAGTGACTGCAGATGCCTCTGCAATCCAAGATAAGTGTATGTATTAAGTCACTCACACTCCAATAGAATTTCAAGTCAAAAACGGTTTATTGACTCGATTGCTATCGAGGGCAGCCCCTGCTTTGTTGCCCACCCCTCGGTCTCACTGCTTTGGGACGTCCCTTTCATGAAATGAAGAAATGGCTGTGTCCTTCAATGAACGGAAGAGAAAATAGGAATTTTTGTACTCCCCGTAAAATCCTTTTCTCTTCTCATTAAGGTCACAGCCCCCTACCCTCTGGAGGTTTCTTGTCTGTCGTGTCTCTACTGCTTGGCGATGAACAGAGCTGCATCTAGCTAGTGGGGGGTTGAGCCACCAGCAGGGCCACCCCCAGGGCTGTACTTTTGTTTTGTACCTAGCGTCCTTCTCCTGCAGGCGTGAAATGAAGAAATGGCTGTGTCCTTCAATTAACTCAGAGAAAAGGATTTTATGGCGAGTACCAAAAATCCAATTTTTTTTCTCCACTCCTTAAAAATTAAAGGAATGTTTCTTTGGCTAATATGGTTTTGTTTACTGGCATCCATTTTGTTCCCTGAACAGTCTCTTACCTGTATTTGTCTTGGTAGCATTTGTTGGCAGGAATGTCATTCTGACTAGTGGCTGCATCATCGGTGCTTGCTGTCAGGTGGACACTTGTGAGGTCATTCCAGAGAACACAGTCATATATGGATCTGAATGTCTGCGCAGAGTACAGACCGAGCGTCCACAGGTCAGTATAAATCCCATAAAATATTTCTATATTATTTCTAATGCGCATGTGTAACAGAAGAACTTTAGGATCATGAGTGTAATTCAAGCTATGCATTGTTGACATGCAGGCTCTGGGGTTGTCATCTTGGCTTCAGATCATATGAATGTGTTTTTTGGTTTGTTTTTTTTTTTTTTTTTTTTTTAAATTAGCAGCTCAGGCTGCAGTACCCACTTCTCTAGCGATGTGTTCTGCAGTTGTCTCTTTTCGCTACTAGATGTCTTCAGTCTTCCAAGCTGAATGACGCATACATCATTTACCCAGAAAACTGATTACATTGAATGACACCATATATCCTTTAACCCTAAACACTAATGAAATACCGTCAATAAAGGGCTTAATAGACCACCCACTCTGTGAGGGGGCATCACTTTGGTGCCTTGCCCTCACAGTGTAGGGATGAAGAGAGCAACGCTGACATCATCGCTTTAGCTCTGCTCTCTGCATCATTGAGGATCACCCTGGGAAGAGGAAGAAAATCCTGCAGCATCACATGATCCACCTGTGACTTCTTTAAAAGGTAAGTAGATTTTAAAAAAAAGCCAGGGGGAACCCAGAATTGAAAAACCATAATAAAGTAGCTTACCTCGATTTGTTGCCAATGATGGCACATCAAAGCTTCAGCCAGCACCTCTCACTATAAACACTTTGCAGTGAAGTAGGTTTAACCCATGCCCTGTTTTCATAAAGGGTATTACCTTTGAATTGATTAGCAGTTCCTGTCTGTTTGGTGCATGAGCAGGCAGACCCATTAACTTTTATTATCTACCCCTCTCTGCAGGCGACATATGTTCCAGACTTTTTTTTTATAGTGCAAAATGGTGTTTACAGTCAGAATTGTAGTGCTGGATGGGGGTGTGGAATTAGATTATTGGCATCATTTTAGGTACTCTGCGTAATCAGGCTTTTTAATCTTGGGGTAGAGAGGTGCTTCATTTAGTTAACCGCATTATATTTGTCATTAGGTAGCATAATTTATACAAAAGGTTAGAAATAAGGCTTCATTCACAAAGCTTTAGAATCATCGATGACTCCACGGAGTCAACTGAAAGTAACTGTCACTTCCTTATGCTAGTCTCTTACTTAGCTTTATTAATTGAGCCTAATGTCTCTTAAACATATTAGAGGGTAATATTTTATACACTTATCCCTTTCCTTTTGAACAATTTCAGCCACAGACCCTTCAGTTGGATTTCCTGATGAAGATTTTACCAAACTATCACCATCTTAAGAAGACCACAAAGATCAGTTCAACCCCAATGAAAAACTGAAGATGCACTAAAAACAACATGCTTCATGTGGATGGTCTTTCCCTAACCCTTATCTTTTACATTATATTCTTTAGTTTTGTTTCAATACTAATTATTTATATTTTTCTGTTCTATGTGTCTAAAGATAAATGAAAAATAAAGCATACAAAGTGCTGAAATGGCCAACTGTTTGATAGAAGTGATATTTAAATATGTATACATCGTATTCACCATCTGGAAGATAGGCTGCCTTAGCATTTGGATACCAACACAGACATAAACCTCTTAAAGAAAACCTAGCATTGTGCACAATTCTGTTGTTCTCCTTGTAGTGCTTTTGCAGAAAACCCCACTATATGTTTGTTATATGTTCCTATTCACACATAACCATAACCAAAATAATTAAAAAGTATATATATTTCTTACCTTTTTTTTTTAGATGTTTCTTTGGTGAAGACCATTCCGCAGGTTCCAAGCTACTCCGTGTACTTTCTAAGTGATAGTAGAGGGACAAACTGAGGGTCAGACTGAGCTTCCTCTCATTAACATATAATACCTTTTAAAGGTGGCCATACACTAGTAGTTTTTTGGTCAGAAATATTAATTTCTGCCACGAACCCTCCTTCAATTATAGCTGGAATACCCATCAAGCATAGTCAAATGTCGATTTTGGAAATAGTTTGTTAGTTATTCTAAGCAACCAATTTTTCAAGAACAACGGAAATCATTTCCTTTTTGTGCATGTGCTGTGTTCTTGCAGTGGATTTTGATCAATGAAAACCCCACTGATTTATCGTTTTTCATTCAGTTGGAAAAAAAGTAGGGATGCACCGATATATCGGCCGCCAAAACATACCGGCAGAAAATTGCACTTTTGGCTAAATGCCGAAAGTGTCATTTTCCTGCCGATACATCGGCGCATCCGTGATTTCTTTCCTCCCCGCTGGGCGTTGCTCTGTGTCCCAGCGGGGAGGAGAAAAAGTGATAGCCAGCCGAGTGCGGGACAAGAGCGATGTGAGCGGCCAGTGTCTCCTCCCACACCGCTCGGCCGCCTATCACAGTGCGGCAGAGCGGTGTGGGTGCGGAGACAGCGCTGTCACAGGAGGCTGGGCTCTCCCCTCGCACCACTCGCTCAGCCTCCTGTGACAGCGTGTCACTCATTCGGTCAGAAAAAGTTTTTACAACCTGACCAAATTAAAAATTTTGATCACAATATCAAAAACGATAATCGGTGATGTACCATCAACTGTTCAATTTTCGTTTGAGAGACCATTTGTGTATGATTTCTGAATGTGCTTTTTTCCAGTCTGTAGACACCTTTAGTCTTTAATAGGGATGCACCAATACAGTTTTTTCGGTATCGAGTACGAGTATCGAGTACGAGTACTGATATTTTGCCTTTGGTATTCGCCGATAACAAGTATAGGTGCTTCCGCTGGCATGGAACCGGCTTCCCAGCCAATCCGCATGGAGCCAGCTTTCCGGCCAATCCGGAAGCTGGGCGGCAAGTAATGACCCATCTCCCAGCTTCCTGGTTGGCCGGGAAGCCGACTCAATGCTGATTGGCTGAAAAGCCGGCTTCCCAGCCAATTAGCATGGAGGTGGCTGTTTGGACTGTAATGACCCAGCTTTCTGATTGGCTGGGAAGCTGGCTTCCCAGCCAATCAGCAAGGAGGCGGCTGTTCGGCCATATATTTGGTCTTGAATGCTCTGGTAAGTGCCAACTACCTTAGATCTGCTCTCAAATGTTCCCAGTAATACACACTCTTGTAACAACTTTTTAGAAAACACAACTGACAGATGATGGAATAGGTGCAAGCTTTCTATTCAGTGGTGCTCATAAATTTGAAGAAGTATTATGTGGCTGTGTTTCCACAACAACCAATCTAATTTTCAGGCTTACACCAAAGGAATGAAAGTTTTTTTCTTGTTTAGTTTTTTACTTTTTTTGTGACATTACCTTATCCCTCTGTCTAATGACTCTGTCAGTGCACAGCCAAAATATTTATGCGAGGGCCGCAACACACTTCCACAGTGCATTTCAGTACACATGCATTACTGCAATGCGTGTCACTTGCGTTAGCATGTTGCAGTGCCATTCAAATGCACTAAGGCAAAGCAGCCCTGACACACATGCATTGTAGTGCACCACAACCCACTAATGCACTGTGTGGTGCAAAAGATGTGTGTAAATCACAACTGTGGCTGCACAGAATTACAAATTCTTTGGCAAGTAAATATATGTATGTCTGTTGTGTATTTAGCTATTGATAAATCCCAATTTTCACACACCTGATTCTATAAAAACAGCTTTGTGAAAATTTATGAAACCCCTTGGTAGGGAAGGGGGCCTGTCTTTTCTCTGCTGCAGTTAAGTATCACTTACAGGTCTTGTCCCTCCCCAGGTCAAATTTAGCTCCTTGGGTTGCTTCCTTGTAAAATAGTACATTTAATGATGTATTAATAAATACAGAGCTATATATGTCTTTTATATCTGCCTGGAGTTCTGCTTTAATCTAGGATATAAAAAGTTCACGGTATCCCCATGGGAATTTGCCAAAACAACAGATGGGATTGTATGCAGCATTTGGTTTGTGGGGCGAAGGCTGTAAATGAGCATAAATGACTAATATTTATTTGGCTTTCTGAAGAAGCAGGATCAGCCAGACCATTGCATCACACCACCAGTCTAAACCATTGATACAAGGCAGGATGGATCCTTGTTTTTATGCTGTTTGCACCAAATTCTGACCCAACCATCCGAATGTCACAGCAGAAATTGAGACTCATAAGACCAGGCAACCTTTTTCCAGTCTTCTGTCGTCCAATTTTGGTGAGCTTTTGCAAAGTGTAGCCTCCGTTTTCTGTTCTTAGCTGACAGGAGTAGCACCCAGTGTGGTCTTCTGCTGCTGTAGCCCATCTGCTTCAAGGTTCAATGTGTTGTGTGTTCAGAGATGTCATTCTACGTACTTTGAATGTAACACGTGGTTATTTGGGTTACTGTTGCCTTTCTATCAGCTTGAACCAGTCTGCCCATTCTCCTCTGACCTCCGGCATCAACAAGACATTTTCATCCATACAACTGACGCTCACTGGATATTTTCTTTTTCAGACCATTCTCTGTAAAGCATAGAGATGGTTGTGCATGAAAATCCCAGTAGATCAGCAGTTGCTGAAATACTCAGACCAGCCCGTCTGGCACCAACAGCTACGCCACGTTCAAAGTCACTTAAATACCCTTTCCTCCCCATTCTAATGCTCGGTTTGAACTTCAGCAGATCATCTTAACCATGTCTACATGCCTAAATGCATTAAGTTGCTGCCATGTGATTGACTGGTTAGACATTTGTGTTAACGAGCAGTTTAACAGGTGTACTTAATAAAGTGGCGAGTGTATTGTATAATTAATTCATGAAACATTACTAAATAGCATCGAAATTACCAATAATGTGGGAGTACCTACTATAACGATGTATAAATCAAGCAACTGACACAAACCTAGTGGAGGTTGGCACAAATTTGCTCTGATAAAGGGATAATTAACAGGGTTGAGAAGCACTGATTCATACATGGAGGGCAGATCAAGAATTTGGAGTATGGCTCCAGGACTGTATGACCTAGGTTAGACATATCCTGCCCTTTTACTATGGTTAGTTTATTTATTGTTATCATATTCTCACTGTTGCTTGTCAAGATGACCTCTCTCTGCATCTATAACATGGAAATAAGGTCACAATGTTCCAGAACATCATCTAAACAGCAATGATAAAATACTGCTGTGTGTTTTTATTTTTACAAACATACCTTTCCCCTGTTCGGTATCAAGAGGAGGTGCAATAGGAAATATGTATTTATTATCAGGAAAGATAAATAATAGTGTATTTTCAGTCAGTGAATATTTTGAGTTAGAATTTAAATATTTTCCCTAAAAGTACAGTGTCACCGTACACATTGAGGGCAAAGTGACAGTGTCTGCACATAGCACACCCCCGGACATGTATACTTTCCCATACCCCGCTGCTGCATCCCTGCCTCTCTAATCTCCAGTGTCGGTGTCTGGTGTTGGAGAATAGGGATCAGCCAAGTGTTCGATTCGAACATGAGTTCGAATTGAACATCGGCAGTTCGAGCGCTCGCCGAACGGCAAACTTTATGCAAAATGCCCACTGAAGCTCTGATTTGTTAAAGTCTTGCACCTGACCAGAGATCAGGTGCAAGCCTTTGCCCAATCAGGGCTCAGCAGAGGAGGGGCCTGAAGGAGAAAGTTCTCTATCAGGTCCCCCATGCTGATTGACAGCAAGCAGTGGGCGGGTGCAATAGCCAGCTTGCTATTGGCTATTGCATTTTACAATATCCAATAGCAGGTTGGGTATGGCCCCCAGCCTGCAATGAAGAAGAGGCAGGGGGGCGGGGCAGAGGAGCCGTGGCCGGATCGGAGAAGAAGCCGTCGGACCAGGGGACCGGAGGCCGGGACAGCAGCAGAGGTACGGGGGGCAGCGAAGGCATGCTGCGGTCTGTGTCCCCGCTGTCTCCGCCAACACAGGCGCAGAGAGCAGCGGGGATTTGAAGGGACACAGGACGCTGCAGCCACAGTTCTCCTAAATGTACCGGCAGTTGCCGGTACATTTAGGAGAACTGTGGACCCGGTTCGTAAGTACGGATTGTCCGTAAGTCGGACGTGCGTAACCCGGGGACTGCCTGTATAAGCGGTCTTAAAGGGGACATTCATTTTTGAACGTTCAACCCCCATTCACTTGCATTGAGTTCGAGTTCGTATTCGAAATTTTCAGCCGCTCGAATACGAACCGAACACGGGGGTGTTCGGCTCATCACTATTGGAGAATAGACAGGGGGTATGATGTCATGGCATCCCAGATAGCAAGCAATTGAGCTGCAAGTTTGAAAATGACTTGCTAAACTATTGCAGACTTGCCAAGCTTTACAATTTTGTTGCACAATTACAGCAAGTCTGCATTGCAAGTCTCCAAAGCAGCGAGCTTGCAGAGCTCTTGCTAAGACCTGTAGGATTCTTGCTGTAGACTTGCCAAGCAAATTTGCTACAAATTCAAAAAGTGTCAACTAGAACTTGTGCTGCAAGTGTTCTGCAAGTCTACAACTTGCCAGGAATGTGTGCGGCAAGTTAACAAGAATTACAATTTCACCCTGCCACAAGTTTGTAG